TCTCTCCCAACTTAAAAAACCACTGTACCAATTGCAATACACTTTACAAAAATATAATTAACAACTTAAAACAAACAATTCAATAGTATTTGTTGTAGCAACTAATTGTGGATGAGAAATGAATACAGAAGAACATTCAGGAGTATTAGACTTTGTTTACTAGTATTGACATTGATAGTGTGCTTTTCATATTGAAATATAATTGTATTGTTTCTCCAATTAATATAGGAATTAATATGATACAATCAAGGTTTTCCCAATATAGCATCATATCACTGCAAGTCTAAAAGCTGAGTATTGATTTCAAATGTCCTATATTCATTAAGTTCTAACTTATTAATTCTTACTTCAGTAGTGACTTCTTTCTTTTGACTATCAGCCAGTTTCACAATAATTAGAACTATATCAATCTTTTGTAGATAATGTTTTTCAGCAAACTTTATGTCTACAAAGTTTCTTGAAGCTCCAGAATCATTAAAGCGAAGCAACTGCTCTTTATTTTCTTTTAATCTTACAAATTCAATAGAAGAAGCTGACACAAATCCCTTAGTTTCAATTTGATTTGCATTTGCATTTGCATTTGAATTTGCTTTTGTAGGGCTTTTATATTCTTTGGCAAAATATCCTTTTTTTCACAATTATAAAAAGTGACATGTTTTTTTGATCCTACAGTAATCTCACTCTTCTTTTATTCCTAATAATTAAACATTGTTTTATATGTCTCAACTTGATCTAACTCCATAGGAAAAGATTCTCTATATCTCTTTTGTTTTTGGTACTTTGAGACAATATTTTTCATCACAAGTTTTTCTAACCCAAACATGGCAGTATCATACTTAATGACCAATTTTTATGCTTCATCCAGTGTTTTAGAAGCTTGATAACCTACTTCCATTTTTGTAGCTGGTTTTAAACTATTAATAAAATATGCAACTTGATCAAGAAGTCCCATATTATCAATTTGATTAATAATATTTCTAAATTGGGAGCCATAATCTTGTACAGATCTTGTTTGATGCAAATATTTGAGTTGAGTTCTCAAATATTACTAATAAGCAGGTGGTTAAAATGCACTTTTCAATTCTTTCTTAAAATCTGCCCAATAAGTAAAGACAGCACTGGTACTATCTTTAACTTGTTTATAAACCAATGAAGAGCTGGTCTTTTAAAACCTGTAGTAGCATAATGAATTATTTGACCTTCATTTTTGATGTCTTGTATATAGAGAATATTTTTGATTTGATGTAGCCAAACTTCTATATTCTCTCCAAATTCCTCTTTAAAAGTAGAAATTCTAAGTGCAATCTTTGATAGAGCCACACTGGCAAAGCTGGAGCCACTAGCAACTGTCTTGCCTTTGTCCTGTATCATTTTCATTTTATTGACAAAAGTATTTATAAATTGTGCAAATTGATCAACATCTATTTTGTCAATTTATTTAGAGATAGTTGTAACTGTATATAAATTTGAATACAAAGGCAGAATGCCCAGCCACATCTTTATAAAGATGTGTATATGTATGCAAGGTGAAATAACTTGTCACTGTTATCAAATTGTAAAAAAACTTAATTTGTCTGTCTTTTTACTATTAAATTTGGAAAGACAAATATTTAATTGTCTTTTTAAAATCTTATACTAAAGATGACTTAAAGTGATAATAAAATTTGTGTAACTTTCCTTTTAAAAAATCTTTGTAAAGACTATAATACCCACAATTGTTTAAAAAAAATATATTTGTAAAATGTTTTGAATACACAAAAGACTACACAAGTTTTTATTCAAATATATTGATTGTACAAGTGTTTGAATACAGTAGGAGTAGTGTTCTTCTCCTCAATTTATAAAATATACTAAATTAATTTTTCTTTAATACTTTTGCTATTACTCTATTTATATAATATTAATTGGCTATAAATATTGTTCATGGGTAAAATCTAATTTTGCCATATAATCATATATAAGAAATAAATATTCTACTATGTTATTGAGTAATAAAAAGATTATAAAAGATATTTAATAAGTATTTACTAATAATATAGGCAGAATTTGTTACAATTTATTATTTGTAACTGATTGTATTAAAAAACTTCTTTTTAATTCTTTTATGTTACAATTTAATAAAATTTGTTTTTGGTCTGATTCTGGAACACATTTTCATTCTGCTGAATTAATGCAACAAAAAATTTTTATTTAACTATTTTGTTAAATATCATGACAAAAATATTGTTAATAGTCACTTTGGTATACTATTAAGATGGTTTGCTAAAGAAGAAACAATACAAAATATTTATACTATTGAAGAATTAATTAATTATTTTAAAATCAAAATACAATCTTATAATAATATTTCTTTTAATATTTATTCTCATAGAAAATCAAAATATTTACAAATTAATAATAAAATAATTCTTATTTTTATTTATTATTTATAAAAATTAATAAAAAAATATATGCTTCAACTTTTAGTATACTTAAAGATATGGATTATAAAAAAGTTTTATCAAAAATAAAAATTATAAAAGATACAAGAAAAATAAAATATGCACTAACAATAAATAAAATAAAAAAACAAAATAATAATAATAATAATAATAATATTTCAAAAATAATGTGAAGTAAAAATAGGCAAAGATTAATTATTAGAGTAGAAAATATATCTAATTTTTTAATTTTTTTTTTTGCAAGGCACTTCTCAAATTGTGATTTTTATTAATTATTGATTCAATTTTTACAAAGAAAGACTTAGTATAAAATACATAACAATAATAATATATTGAGATATGTTGCTATAAACATTGACCTGCCTATAAGTAAATATATTCTATAAAAATCTTAATTTGGCAAAATTTTAGAAGTAACCATTTACTGAATTCGAAGTCAGTACCTACCTAATAATTTAATTTTTATTCAAATCAGATAAAAATAAATTTTCAGTTAGTAAAATGCAGTTAGAGAAGATATTTGGAAAAAATGTGTTGAAATGTGGGTTATAGTTGTTATTGGTTTGTTTTGTTGTTGTTGTTAAGTTAGTGGATGATTTATTAAAAGTGGATATGGTTGTTTTTGTTAATTTTTTTTGGTGTGAAGTAATACTGAGAATTTTTTTCTAGAAGATCATATCCTCATTTTTGGGTTTCTATATGTTGTTATACTGTATAATAGTTCAAGAAGTTTATTAGAGATTTGTATATGTTTAAAGATTGAAATGGGTTTTTAATTTGGTATTATAGTTGATAGTGGAATAAGACCAGTAGCTATTGATATTGTATTTTGAATGTTGTTAAAGTAATATAAATTGTGTTCAAGAAAATTGTTTATTGTTTTTTTGATAATTTAATATATTGAATGGATAGTTGTTTTCAAAATATTGTTGTTAATAGAACAAGTCCAAATGTGATTAATAGTTTCTTCTGAGGCGTTGCAATATGGACAAATGTTGTTTAAGTATAGATAAGATTTGGTGATATGTAAGTGAGATTTAGTAGGAAGACTTTATAAGATAATTTTAAGATGAAAGTTGTAAATAGCAGATTCAAGGGTGTTTATAAGAATTGATATAGATTTGAGAAATTTTAAAGTATAGAAAAAGTTTTAAAAGTTGGATTAAAAGTTATTTGAATTCTTTTTAAGTTTAATATATTGAAGGTTTTGTAAAGATAGTTGATTTTTTTAGTATATTTGCGAATAGGAGAAGTGATAATCTGGAATAGTTAGTTAAAGTATAAAGAGAGGATTGTAAGTTGAAAAGTAAATTTATTTGAGGAATTATACTGTTGTGTTGTGGTAGTAGATTGCAAAGTGGTTTGTAAAAGGTGTAGTAAGTTTATAAAAATTGAACTGTTTGTTTTAAGTTGTTAATTATATTTTTGTAAAGTGTATTGCAATTGGTACAGTGGTTTTTTAAGTTGGGAGAGA